TTAAAAGCCAACACCAACATCCTAGAGAAGAGTAATCTATCTCTTATGTTCTGGAGAAAAAGAGACACATGCATTGGCTAATGAACTTGGTGTCAGATATTAGGTGTCTAATATGTATGTCGGCTTGGACAATTACCAAAAGATAATAAACTTCAATGAATGTTCAGGTGTCTTTAATACATAAGCTCCATTTTGAATAGCCTAGGAATTAAAAAAAACATTTAAGTTATTCAATGATGACTACATTTGCTTCTTTGGAATAATAATAATATAGTCCATAATCATATCGCTGGCTGATTTTGTCAATCATTATCTAGTATTGGTAAGTATGAATTTCTTGTTCAAAGTTCACATTTACACGAACTATTTGTTTAATGTTGGACAAGGGTGGCAATCTTGACATGAAGTTGGGGCAGAATCTAACCCACAAATGATCCATCAGAGAAGAAGAGGAGGTGGTAGAGTAGGAGGAAGAGGAGTGGACACCAAGTAGATTGATGGCATCATCCACATTGGTGTGAGGGAGGCGAGACTGAAATATATATATAGAGAGAGAGACTAGCTAACCTAATACATTCAAATAAAAAAATAAAAAATCGGGTGGTGACACCCATTTAGAGGGTTTATTGTTTATTAAGCCTGTATGTATGTACTGGTCAGTATGAAACATTGTACCTAGAGTTTAGTTTTTCTATGATTAGAGAAATTTTGAATATCTTCTTTATTCTTATAAATTGATACTAAAAATATCCCTTTCCATTTTTAATCAATTTTTATCCTTAAAATTTTGTTAATAAGCTAGTTAATGAATTTATGTTTATGTCACTTTTACTCTCTCGAATCTGTATAGGGTCTTTTATTTGAATGTGCAGGTTCGAAGATAGTGTTTACTAATGGTTCGCAAGATCCTTGGCGCCATGCTTCTAAGCAAAAATCATCAGAAGATTGTAAGATTCATTGCATTTTTCTTGGTTTATTGTGCTATATTGTATTAGAAAGCTCGGTCTTGGTTCTGTTTCTCCAGTTGAATATTTTTGTGATTCTTAAATCTTAGCAGCTTAAATTCAATCCTCTGAAGATACTCCATATTGGCAATTTGATGTCTTTACAATATGATTCTTTTTGTATAATTTTAATAGTGAAGCAGGACTTCTGCCTTAGTTTCACATGCCAATATTATTCTGCACATTTTAGCTATATTTTTTGGATGGAGTTTTATCATTTCATCCTCTGCAGATGTAGAGAATGACAACTGAAATATGACATTATGGGATGAGGATTCAACTGACAAAGACATCATAAATAGGACATATTATGTATTTGTTTTTAATTGTTGGGACTTATATGTTTTACTTTGATTTAAAACAGGAAGTGCTGTAAGCTACTGAGTTGTTGTATGCATACACATGCTAAATATGAAGCAAGTTCATTAAAGCTTTACTTTTGGTTGCATATGCTGCAAATAGTTCAGGTAGTCACCATAGTAATATAAAACAAAATATTCTATATAAGCAATATGATACGTATAAACTATGAAAGGAATTTGGAAAATACTAATCAAATTCTCTTAATCTTGTCTGTATGATTGTATGGTTATTGTTATAATTTCAGAAGAAAATATATTAAATTCATGCACATGCTTAAGAAAAAATTCATCGCTTGTATGGCTAGTAAAGTTCTTTATGTGCCAATAGTTTTTTTAGCATGAGTGTTAGTAGCATTACTTACATATCTTATTTTATAAAATTATCCAGTGCCTTCCTACTTGATCAAATGTCATAATTGTGGACACGGTAGCGATCTTAGAGGATGCCCTCAGTCTCCTTTGAACATTGAAGGTATAATTTGATCCTCTCATTTACTCGATGACTAAAGCCACTTGAGTCTTGAAGAACACCTGCTGTTAATAATGACTAGCCAATGACACTCATAGTGCATTTTGCTTTTGATTTGTTGATATTTAAATAGAGTTGACTGTTGTCGGTAATTGTTTATGATAAAGTTCATAATGTGAAATGTATCATATTGGGTGCTTGGACTGAGGATTCAGTTTGCATGGTCTTACACTTGGTAAATTTTCTTAGGTAATGCGGAAAAGTGCACATCTCCTGAAGCAGTACAAAAAGTGAGACAACAGATTATACAACATATTGACTTGTGGCTCTCACAATGTCAAGCTACAGGTAAGACTTCTGTTTGATCTTACCCTAGTATCAAATTACAGATTTTCAGAGAGTGATGACTTGGAATTGTCTGTGTTCTCTAAAGTTGCATATACATTAAGGATGAGAGGAGGATTTTAGTAATAATTAATTGTTTGAGTGAAAAAAAATCTTAAAATGTCTTTTGTATAATATGATATATTGATTACAAGCTTTAAATATTGATCAAAATTGTACTTTTTGATATTTATCAATCTAGCCGAGGACCAATAATGGATCGTATAGACTTGTACCTTGTGGTATTTGTATTTAGTTTTTATTACTTTTCAATGTTACCAATCTACTGCTTGATATACTAGTACCATTGGCTCAACTGATTGTCAAAAATTGTTGTCAAGCGAATCCTTGTATGTGGTGATATCCTAAATACTTGGTAACTACGAGGCTAAGATGAAGTCAGAACCAAAGTTTTAAATATCAGACTGATACCAGTTTTGATTACCTATAGGACCAGTATGCATTGGACCAGCACACTGAGTAGTATGTCGACCTATACTGTTTGATTATTATTGAATAAATAAAAAAATAAACTGTATATGAACTAGTGTCCAGCTTAATGTTTAGATATTGGTATTTGGTTAGATTAGTAAATATTGTTGGTATGTACTGGTTGGAACTATGTTTGCAACACTTATCCACCACTCCAAGAAAATGGAGCAATTTGCAACCACCCAAAATACCATCAGGGTTTTCCTCAGTGCTATCCAATAGAATGTAGCAGCAAGTATTAACCCCAGCGGTTCTTTTATGAATTCCTCGTTTGCATCAATGTATTATATTAAAATATTATGGCTTGTTAATGTGAACGTAGGAAATATATGAGCTCTGTTAAGGTTGATACCGTTAATCAGCTTGAGACCCATCAAATCTATTTTTGGTAAACTAGGATCAGGATCAGGGTGGGGGGCTCTTAGAGAGCAGTTAAAGGTAAACTAATGAACATCACTGTTTTCTAATTCACATTCATTTCTGTGACATCTACCATTGCCTGTTATTTCTTATATAATTCCTTTTCCCTCGATCTTATGGCATGTTATAATTTTATTATTTCTTATTTAATTCCTTTTCCATCAAATATCAAAAGAAACCTATATATATGATGCTGATTTACCATATAAAATACCACTATTCAAAAGCTGGACCTTTTGGATCTTACAAGATTATATGTTTAAGCTTTGACTTCAAAATGATTAAACCAATTTTATGTCAATTCAAACACTATCTTTGTCCATGAGACTTCCTACCTGAGAATATTATATGCCTTATAACCTTGTACTGGTTGGGTAAAAGGTTAGCAATATTTTACTTGTTTGGTGCTTATTGTTCAAAAGATTCTGCATTTGTAGTTCTCCAACACTATCATTTCTGTTCGGATTCAGTTATTGCACTGCATCAGATATTGAGAAAAGAGCGGCAGCTTTAGGTAGGATTAGGGTCGTGACAATTTTATGATATATATGATTAAAAATATATTAACCAGGTTAAACTTGGGTTGGGTTACAATTGGCCTGCCTGAGTTGCAGCCCTGGCCAGGATTACAAGCTTAACAGAAATCTTAATCATGCATAGTCTGTTCCAAGTAAGCTTGGTTAGATGACTAAATTTTGGAATTCTTGACCAGAACAGCACACGTTTTAACTCCATAAACATGTTCAGACTGCATCCAACAAGGAAGCATCCCATTTTTGTGTATCTTCAGCATGTTTTATAGAGCCTTTGTTTGACCACTACTGTATAACTATGGAAATGTGAAGTTCGCGATTTCTGTTTATGCTGAACTCACTGCTAACACAAAAATAGATGAAAAGGTATTCTCATATTGTAATTATAGAGCCTGTGAGGTTTATCCTCTTTGTTGGATAAGTACAATATTTGACCGAGCTGCTTGCTGGCTCCCAGTGCAGATAAGATGTTTTGTGCTGTATCAGGGTTCCTGCAGTTGTGAAGTACATCAAATTCTGGAACTCATATAATACTTGAATCCTTGAAGCAAGTTCTTCTTTTTTTTTGTGCTAATCTCTCATCCAATGTTAGCTGGTTAGTTTAGTGTAATCCTGTTATTTCAGGACCTGGTGATGATGAACCTGCACTGAGGATGACTGCGAGTTCCTGATTGCTTGCCCAAGTTGAAATGATTTTGGTTTTTCAATTTATCATGACTGATGAATTGAAGATATCAGGCAGTAAATGTTCTGAAAGGACTATATAGTTTTCTAAATACTTGAAAAATTCATAATGTGGTTGCCAAATAGGCAATGTTGTATCCATCACGTATCCCTTCACCTGCTTTATAGTCCCAGGGAAGCCGCCTTCTTGGCTTTGCTACTCTTGCCCTGTAATCACAGTACTAAACAAATTTGTGGAGAGCGAAGAAGAGGTTGCCTCGTATTCAAAGATGACAATCAAATCAATCAATTCTGTCTCGTACTTCAAAACTTGTTGATAGTCGTTGACAGCATTAGCTAAAGATAACCTAGCAATATACCTCTTTATTCTTTGTTCTGTGTTTTGGCCCTTGTGTCAGCCGTTTGGTTATTGACAAATCTGATCCATCGATCTGGTTCGGATAGACACGTCAGGATTTGAAATTGTCATCTCTACTCGAACCAGCCTTCTCAAGGCTTCAGATTGGGATGCTTTGGTCGTGATAAGTGGCAGGAGTTGTTTTTGGATCGTCTCACCCTCTTTCTGTAAGTGGAATTTTGTAGTTCGTTTTGAATTCAATTTTCATCTCCAATCACTTGATGCAGATATATCTTTTCTTACTTGGGGTACCTACAAAACGTGACCTACATATCAAAGAGTCCACAAGTCACAGGTAAACACCTTTCTCCTGGACTGTGCTATTACATATATGTACTAAGAGAGAAATAAGTCACAGCATGAATCATTTTACTTATCCTTGCACGAAACAAACTCATGAAGCATTACTAAGAAAAGTATAGGAAGATCAATAATGTGAAACATTTTCCTTGGCAGCCTTCTACTCAAATCATGGGGAAAGAGTGTTGTAGGATGAGAGCAAAGTGCTTTTACATGCGTGCTATATCGAATCTAACCTGTGGGGTAATTTTTCTTCCTGTTATATATATAGTCGCGAATGACTTAAATTAATTAATGGTATTCTCGTCATTATGAAAGATAGTGAGGGCATCTCCGTCAACCCATATCTTACGGATGCAAAGTTGGTGTGGCGGCGGTTCCGTTTCGAAAGACCGTTCCGTGTTCGATCGATTTCGAAGTGTCCAATTGTTGTCATCTCCCTAGGTGGTTACCCGCTTTCCGATTGGAGAAACCGTGACCCCTGGGCGGGACCCGCGATGTCTCCACCGTTGGCTCCATTCACTAGTCTACCCCCACCGTCCCCAATTGGCCCGCCTTCTCTGCAGTTGGGTCCTCCGATTACTTGAACCACATGGAATCCGGGTGGTTGTGACACGTAGCTTCTGCAGGTGACGAAGGTAATTCTATGATCGTGTAATTCTATGGCAAGTAAATAACTTACTATTACTGTTAAATATTATTTAAATATTGTAATTTGTCGTAAAAAGATAACTTACTTAAATATTTCTTAAATCTTATTGGGTCTCAGTGGATATTTATTTAGTGTGTCAAAATCATAGTATGGCAGGAATTAAATAGGGAGACTGACTCAATTTATATAGTGCACACCAAAGAAAAGTAGTGGTGAAAATGTATGTTTGCATTTGGATGGTTGACTTGGAGTGCTCACGGAAATCGGCAGCCGTTTAATGTTCCACAAAACGCTCGTCCCCTTCTCTTCGTCTTCCTCTCCTGCTCCTTCGCTGTCGTCTCCGTTCTTCATTCCTCAGCCTACCTCCATTCCTCTGCCACTTGGCCCGCTTCAGCTGCCGTCCCCTGTTCCTTCTTTGGTGTACTTCAACTGCTCGCAGGTGAGGGGAGATGGAAGGAACAAAGCAGAGAGGGAAAAATGTCATCTTTACGGTTTTGTTGGTAGATGGGTTTAAGTGAGTTGTTGTTGTTGGGTGTTTGCAGGTAGAAAGAGAGGTGAGAATGGAGGAGGCGCTGAAACATAGCATGCCGGGGAGCAGTTTATACTCAGGACAGCAGCGGCTTCAACAGCAGCAGCAGAACAAGGTGACGGTGAACGAGGAGTGGGGTTGGGCTGCCGAAAGAGGGAACCTTTTGGGAGAGGAGTTCTCGGTGGACGACCTCCTCGACCTCGGAGACTACGCGGATTACTACAAGGAAGCAGAGGCGGCGAAGGAGGTGGTTGAAGAAGTCACTGCTACAGCCGAAGCTCCCGAAGCAGGGAACGGGGAAAGAGCTGATTCCAACAATTCTTCTCCTCCTTCCACGAGTTCGACTCTCTCCTTCCAATCACTGCAGCCTCGTCTTTCTGAAATCAGTCTTCCCGTAAGCCTTTCGTTCTCCTGATCGTTAGAATCGAAGGCTATAAGGAAAAAAAAAGAAAGCGGTTTTTTATGGGATTTTTGACACCTTCGGAATGGTTCTTTTGGAGCTTGGCTTTGCTTTCTGCAGGCGCATGATGCTGAAGAGCTGGAGTGGGTCTCTCTCGTCATAGAAGGCTCCTCCTCAGAGTTTTCGCAGTGCCCTGGCGTTGCTCACACCACTTCAGCGCCGCCGCCTCACGGCCAAACCGGTACCCCGGCAGTAGCAGCAGCACATGGTGCATCCCCTAAGAGCCCAGCGGTCTGTGGATTCTCCAAAGAAGTTATGGTTCCCATGAAGGCCAAACGCAGCAAGCGCTGCCGCTCCGCCGCCGCATGGTCCGTGTCCGGCCCTCTTGTTTTCGCCGACTCCTCCTCAATCACCACCAGCGCCACCTCTTCCTCCGCTTCATCCTCTTGCTCCTCCTCCAGGAACACCTCCATCTCATGCCTCGTATACGACCGCCATCCCGCCGCCGGCGCTGACCAAAGCTTCCTCCTATATGACGCCACGCCGCCCCCAGCCAAGAACCAACGGCCGAAGAAACGTGGCCGGAAGCCAAAGCCACCAGCGACCGCCGCTTCCGGCTCCTGCGAGCGGCGGTGCAGCCACTGCGGGGCCCAGAAGACGCCGCAGTGGCGGGCCGGGCCCCTCGGCGCCAAGACCCTCTGCAACGCCTGCGGCGTCAGGTTCAAGTCCGGCCGCCTCCTCCCGGAGTACCGTCCCGCCTGCAGCCCTACCTTCGTCAACCACATCCACTCCAACAGCCACCGCAAGGTCCTCGAAATGCGGCGCAAGAAGGAGGCGGAGCTCCTCATCTTCCCTGCCGCGCCACCGGTCCCTTCCTTCTGACGCGCCGCGCCGCGCCCGGTTCGCCTGCCCGAATCGCCCGGTTCAGACCCGGTCGGATGTAAAATTTGTACCGTATGGCTTTTCCCCGCTCACACAAATAGCATTAGCTACCTTTTCTCAGTGTTTTACTGGCAGCTATCTCTGGTATTTGACCATATGGGGAGTAAGGAAGAAACGTCTGACATGACTGTTCTCTTCTCATCATCTTCTACTATTAGAGATTCCCAGCATATAGAGAGAGGAATAGATAATTAAGCACAGGTGGGTGGGGGGGATAAAAGTCATCCAGCTTTGGTAGCAGTGGCTTCGCAGTGGATGATGAGAGAATGCTTGAAATGGGATTGGTTTTAGCAGTCTTTGTATATTCCTTGGTGTCTGCTCTGGTCTCTGTGGCCGCGTCTGTTTTCTTTGGGTGCACAAGTACTGTTTGTTACTATGCTTCTTGGGGAATGCGTAGCATTTGGCTGATTCCTCGTGAATGCATATGGGAATCACGCAACAATTGTACGAGTCTGCTCGGTTAGAGCTTGCATCTCACTCTCTCTGTATCAGAAGGGAGAAAAAAACTGAGCTGCTCATACCATGTATGCTGTCATTTGATGACACCATGTCCTTCCATCTCTCACTAAACCCCCCCCCCCTAGTGGGAGAAGCTCACTCTCATGCTAATTCCATGAGCTATCCACCTTTCGTTCTACATCGTTTGTTTGTTTGCTTGTGGAAATTTGTGGGGTATACATTAAGGACTTTGATGAAGAAGTTATGGGTGAGCAGTACTTCAAGCTTTGCACCATGAACCGAAACCCGTGGCTGATGGTACTTGGATTTCTGTTCTTGTGATGTGCATGCGTGCAGAAACCAGCCAAATGGTGGGCGCTCACCGTTCTTGACACCAGGAGGAAGAAAACATTTATGTGCACAGGGGACTAAGATACTATTTTGTCCTTGTCAAGAGACTGTTTCAAATTGTAGCATTAAGTTGACCTTTAGTCAAGGCATAGAGTCGATCAAGTTGTGGCAGAGGGTGTTCTGCTATGACAAAACGGGGAGAGAGCAAGATTCGTTTATTTATAGATTAACATAAGATTTTTTTTTTGGATAAAGGATAAGTGATGAATGTAAAATTTGAATCTCGACAAAGTTCGTTGTACCATACCGTATCGACGTTTCGATCCGGGCTCGGTACGGTATGGTATCGGTATATCGGACGGTACATCAAGGGCGTACCGAACGATACACCCTGATGTATCGAATAATTTTTTATTTTTTCATATTGTAAAATCGATCATAATGACTAGACCGAATCTAGAAATAAATCCAACTCTTAAGCAAGTAATCAAGCAAGAAGGAACTCAGTTGGAACAATGACTACTGCTGATCTTAACATACAAAACAAAACAACTGACTGCCTGAACAGAATTGCATTAGCCATCAGCCAATAAAACCCAAAAACAGAAAACTTGGGCAGCATAAGCTAAAATATGTATTCAAGAACACCATGCTCATTGACAAAGTGAAGACTATTTTCCAAAAGTCTCCCCAAGCTGAGAGAAAGGAGGAAAAAGAAAGAAAAAAAAATAGAAGTTGTACATATCTGTGATCAATACGGAATAGGGATGGAGGCTTAAAATCATGTTTTGATAAGCACTCCAGGGTGCAGACACAGAATATGCTCAATCCATTGCATACATTTGAAGTTCACATCACTTCTCTCACATCCTGTCTCCAAACCCATATCCATCCTGTGTCAACCAGAAAGCATATACATAAACTTGCTAGCGACATGGTTTTCGACAGATATTTTGGTGAATTACACGGTTGGTGCTGCCAGATGAACTCTCCAACAGATACATCAGAGAAGGGGCATGGCTTTATCTGCTGCTACGAGCAAACACTTTCCGTTTCCTTTGCATTTTGGAGGTGCCAACGGGTTTCGGAGACTTTGCATTCCAGGTATTCCTGGTATTCTGAGCTTCTTTCTTTTGCATCTTGCTAAGGCTAGGCCTATAGAGAATGACTGAACGGCCAATCTGTCCCACAACAACTGATCCAGTTGCCTGCTCAAGTTGTTTTATCACATCACTTAGCTCTCCTGGACAGCTTCCATGTACTTTTAGCTGCTCGAGTCACAAGAAAACAGGTAAGTCCCTTTCTGTAGTTTGCTAATTATGCAAGGCAGAAGCTCAGAATTGATATAATATGAGAACTATCTTTGTCATTTATCATATTACTGTGAACAATTCTAGGAAAGACATCATGGTGTTTAGTATCTGAAGTTTGAACCAGATCCCAGAACCAACATTAAAGTAAGAAAAGATTCCTGGAGCTAAACATAACCATGATATTGAGCAAATTTTCAAGCCCAAAGAAAGAAAAAAAACACACACACACACAACAGGGGACTTGCAGCTAAACATAAAAATGGTGAACTTACAAGAGGCTTCCATCGATATGAGGTTTAGGAGGGTCAATATACATAGCCTCATCTCTACAAGTAGAAAGACTATATTTGTGACATAATTCCTGGTCACCCAAATCATAAAAGAACAACCATGAACCTTGTGTATGAGACTCTTGTCAGTGCAAGATTCAAGGAGAATCAGTGTTGTAATCTTTTTTTTTTCTTTTTTTGCAAAAGGTAAGTGTCGAAGGCAGGATTCGAGCCAAGACCTTGCAATAAACTATCAAAGTCTTTACAAGCTAGGCTAGTTAACACCTTAAAGAATATATCAGATGAGATTTTGAACCCTCAATGTTTGATAAGTGGGTTTGGTACACCATCACCAGACCAATGTTTAAGGTGCGTAGTGTTATATATTACCTCTACAGATAGAAAATTTTATTTCTATGACTTGAATTTTGATCATCTAAGTTATGGGTGAAGCAACCTTATCATAATACCAATGCTTGCCATCATAAAGGTTGAATCTAGTGCATGAGAGATCCACAAATGAGAGTAGGGTCAATGTACCACATATAAACAATTTTGATGCATACAATTTGTTTTAGTACAGCCAAAAAATCCTATTTCAACAACCACGTAACCATAACTCTTACCACCTTAAATGCCTTAATGAGAGAAATACAGACAAAAATCAGAAAGAATCAGTCCAGTGTCTTATTTTGTAATGGCCCAAGCAATATTTTGATAAATTGCTCTAATAGTACTAAAAAATTAGAAAGCATCACAGCTAAATAAAGGCAGCATTCCGTTTCCAGTTCAAGCCCAATCAAATAACAATTAACTTCGCCATGTACCTGACAAATTAAAATATAAACCAACTTTTGGCGGACTTAACTCGGTAAGGTAACATCATGAAATAAATGATTAAAATTCCTCAAAATTACGAGATTTGTGGAGTCTAGAAGAGTTGGAGTAGAAAAAGTCTTATCAAAGGATTAGCAGTAGGAAATTTTTACTTGGAAATAGCAAATAGTAAGGAAGTGTGGTGCAAAGGATTCATAATAATGTAGCAAATAATACTAAGATAAGACTGATAAGTTGGTTAAAGTTGCATCTCAGTTATTGTTTTTAGCATCACATTACCACAAGCCTTCGCGTGGGATATGACTAAAATTTAGGGACAAGATATGCAGAGAATAGCGACTCCTACCTGAAGACCGAAAGTGTAGAGTAGAGGAAAATACCATGCGAGAGTAAATATATGCCCTCGACATTTCTGCCATCAAAGAGAAGCCAACACTAAAGATTTCATTCACTCTTGTCATCCATTTACAAGTTTTGATTTTTCTTATTATGGATTGCAATTAACTTGTTTTTCTCTTGGTTGCAATTAACCACTAACATCCTTTGCATCTCTCTTTCTCAAGCTACCTTAAAATCGGGGAAAAAAAAAATCTTCCATTCAAAAGAATTAAGTCCAATGCAACATCAAAATGCGATTTTTACACAAGGGGCAATAAGGGCTAACCTTGAGGAGCTCATTGGCCTCCAGAGTCTCGACGAAGGCGGCGGCCACGGAGGGAGTCACACCCGACTTACCGACCTGCTGGGACTTGAGCTTCTTTCCCAGGCCGTGGGCGTACGATGCCAGCTCCTTCTTCTCCTTAATGCTCAGCTTCGGCGATGGCAACCGCGGCAACGGAACGGCAACGACCGGTCCCGTATCCTCCCCCGCCTCGTTCTCGAGTTCGGATTCTTCATGGGAATCATCTTCTTCTGGGTCCTCGAAGTCGGAATCTTGACCTCGGAGGTCGCTCTGGAGGTGGAGAGGATGAGGAGGCGGCGGCGGCGAATGGGAAAGCGAGGAGAAGAGGCGATGGTAGCTAGAGAGAAGGAGACGAGGAGAGGAAGATGAGGATGGAGAGGAGAAGGGGAGGAGGAGAGGGGAGGAGAGCTTGTGGGGGATAGAGGAAGAGGAGAGAAGGAGAGAGGAGTGAGGGCGGGGTAGAGGGAAGCGAAGAAGGGATGAGGCCATTTCGGATCGACTCGGCGTTCGGGAAATGGAAACAACGGGGTTTAGCAAAACGTTTTCTCGCGAGATCAGCTAACAATATATCATGATCACACAATGCAAGTACGAATCACAAAGTCTTCGTGGGTGAGTTCCGACAGACCAAGATGAAGTGCTTTGAAGCATCAAATCAAGTGCAATTGAAGGGATCTGCAGATGGATGAGAAGATTATGACAATTTTTATATTAAGATTTATATTCAATAAACTAGAAAATAAAATTATTATTATATCCTAAACACTTCCATATATTATAAAGGTAATATCGTGTCCTATATATTTTTTATTTATTTATATTTTTAGAGTTCTATTTATGTCATTTGCTTTATTTTTTTTCACAAATCAATAATTTTGAGGTTCATAACTATTTATAAGATATTCATCAAATAATTAATCTTGATATCGTTGATAAAAGTCATCAATGTTCATCTTTTATGCATCTACTATTGTGCAAATTTTCAGTTTTTCTAGCTTTAGCAATTCAATATATATCCTTTTCTCCATTCTTATTCATCATAAAAAGTAATATATATATATATATATATATATATATATATATATATAATATAATTCTAAAACATAATTTTTCTGTAATAATTATTTTTGAATTTTCTTAAATGTACACTCCTAATAGTCTTTTTTTTTTCCTATGCTCTTAATCTTAGATGATTAGAGTTTCATATTGGCTTATCTCATTGTTTATACATATCAATTTAAAAATGTCTAGTCTTATCATCATTTATATTCTTTTTTTTTCATGCAATTTAATTCAATATTCTTCTTTAATGTACAATTTAACTCAAAATTTCAACATCTTTCAGTTAATCATATATATGATTTCTTTTGCCTTCTATTTAGGCATTGATTGGATGCATCCTTTTGACATGATATCGCAGTCAAGCTTGTGATTGGGACAAGGCTCAAATGGTTAAGCTCTTGTGATCATAACATGGTAATGCTTGTAGTCAGCCTCAGATGATGATCCCAAGTAGGTTCACTTTGGATTTCATCTGATGTGCTGATCACTTCTGAAGTATCACAATTACATGAGCCACTGCTGCAGCAGCACTAGGCTTCCCCAAGGAGAGTTTACTTCAGTAGCCATGGAAGTCATGCTACCCCAAGATTGTAATCCTTCATTGCCACCTGGTTTTGCTATCACTGTTGTGGTTTCTTCTTCTGCTATACTGTAGTTTCAGTGAGGGAAAGCTTGACAAGCTTTCTGCAAGGATAGCATCCTCATGAGAAAAAAAAACCATTTTCATCTTCTTTCTACTTCTCCCAGAATTTATATTTTGATCCAACAACATATGGTAACTTGTCAATCAATGAGAAAGTTACTGGCTTTAACAGGAGAGAATTATATTCCTTTTTGTATCAGCATAAACAAAGCCTTCTATGACTTCTACATCTGTATCCATATGAGCGATACAGTGATGTTGCATACTCACCTTCATGTTATCTCATCACCTGCAAGGATTTCCAATTCAAGGCCAATTTCTTTGATTGTTTGTCACACCAGGAGACCTGATACACAAAGTTTGGATCTTTGCATTATATTGCTACTCAAATGATCATATCACATGCATGTAACATGCTATTGTGTAATATCATCAGCTTGGTTTGCTTGGACAGACTGAAATTTCATCACCTTCCAAGTGCAGAACCACCTGAAGAAAAGGTCATATAAGATGATGTACATGGATCTTCCTATGAAGTAACTTGGAGGTTGCTCACTGAGGCCTTCATCCATCCATCAACTTTCCACTTGGAATGTCTTGAGTGGAGACTTTAGCATTAAAATTCATAAAAGGTCACAATGAATTGGAGAGTTACTTGTGATAATGACACTCATAATGAGTTCCTCTCGCTTGTAAAAAGCACATAAATTTTGCACTCAGACAATTGTTTTGTTTGGATAAGCATGTCTCCAAGGCTCCAAAGCTTCTTACTGCTGCCATTGGACTGCAAAAATATGAACAACATAACATGCCTTTTCTTTTCATGCAGCTTAGGATCATGCAATTCCCTCCTCCAGCACAGTGCTTGAAAAACAAGTCATGGTTTGTTTCATCAAACAAATACCCTCCTCCAGCACAGTGCTTGAAAAGCTACGATTTGTATGTTCTGATCATACTGAAGGAGAGGAATACACTGCAGTTCTTCATCTGGAGGAGATTGGGATCAAGGAATAAGCAGCAAAGATCAAGAAAAGATGAATTGTGGAGGGCCCAAGAGTGTGTCAATTGGTGGGTGAAGAGAGTGAGGCCATGTGCAAAGAATGCAAGTGGGAAACATAGGGTAAATCGACCAACATGGAGCATTATCCTCCATGGTCTCCAACATATAGCTTTCAATCTATCTGTCAGGATTCCTCTGGCACAAGAAAACAACGCAAATGACCTCCCCAACTTTAGCTTGGCTTTCCTGCAAACCTCCAACTCTTTCACCAATAGATCAATCTAAACACAGTGCCAAAATTCATGTCTAGGTGGGACATAAACATAGATATTTTATAAATACAGTCTATATTCTCCTTGTATTTTGGATGGAAAAGACTCACTAGCATAAAAGACTTTGATCCACGATGTGAATGCTGAGAGTTCAAATCAGCATCGCCATGTGAAAGCTGGAACGCATTACATAGCACAGCTTGTTGAAGAGTCACTATATTACACAAAGCTCTTTGCCATGACTTTTGTCCGTCTTCATCTGCTGCTTTGCAGTCACAATCAAAGATTGGAAACCATTGGACTTCCTCAAACCATGGTAAAGTGTTGAGGAGTCTCTCTCTGATACTGCCTTCGTTACGATCAACGTTGGCATACAGCTAAACAACGACTTCCACCTAACCATAACTCTAATCATTAGATGCTCACAACAACACACCGCAATTGCGTGCACGCAAGTTTAGCATTTTCCGAGGGAAAACGAAGCGTATACGCGTATCATTTCTTAATGGTTTCATTGGAGGAAGAATTAAGTTAATACAAGTGAAAATAATGCATGCATTCATTAGGAATTAAGTCAAATTCGAAACACCAAACTATCATTTTGTGGATTAATCTTATAATTCATAATTCTCGATGCAGATGCATCGTATTTGTATTCAGAAATGATCATCAACCTCATACAACCAAGCATTCTCTAGAACATATCATGTCAACAAATTAGATAATCCTTGCAAGTCTTTAAAATGATTTTCTTTTTGCATCTTTTTTTGTGATAGTAGATAAGATTTCTTCAACTATACAAGGAAATCTCTTTATTCTGTTGAGCGAAATCTCTCTATTCTATTGCTTCTCCATCTCCAGCGGTAAAAGAAAAGGCTTTCTACTATCCGTCGTCTCTAGTGCTACGCTCACTAGCACTACCTCACCTTTCTTCCTCTGTTGTAACCTTCTTCTCTATTGTAGCATCGTTGCAGCTTCTTCTATTGCAGCTTTCTCCTCTTCTGCACCTCTGCTATAGCTTCCTCCTTTGCTATAGCATCGCTGCAACTTCCTCGCTCTTGCTCTACTCACGAAGCCTCTGGTTCGTAAACTATTTGCTTTGCATCAATCCAAGATTGGTGATCCAAGATTGGTATCCTTGACAGGAGCACCATCTTGCGGGGGCATGATAGCAGTCTCTCTATTCTGTTGAGGAAAATTCTCTATTTTGTTGAGGAAAATCCTCCCTCCTAATATCTATAAATAGAATGGACATGTTAATGTATTCAAGCTAAAGCTTCTTATCTTCAATAAAGCTTCTTCAATAATTGTTCTTATTTTTTATTATTTTCTTTATTTTGAACTAGAGGATCTCATCAAATTACATCGAGAGTGATACTTAGAAAGATTCCTCGAATGCTAAAGTTAATTAAAAGTTCAAAATGAATCCAATGTGAGGAGTTGACCATATATATTTTTGGGTCGCGTGTTTATGTATCGATAGTAAATATTACGTTATATGGACTAATTATGATTTGATTGTATATGATAGGTTTAAATTTCGATCTATTATCAAGTTTAATCATATAAAAAAACACCTTTGTATATTGCTATGGCGGTACCATAACTTCGATCATACAAATGCTACTAGAAATTAGGGATCGGAACCACAATGAAATATTAATTCATGGCGAGTCGCATACGATGTCATTTACCTCACGGCATGATAAGAATATATACATCATCGTACAAAAGTCAAAGAAGAGTGGCGCGCGCAGATCCAACGGTCACGTGAGTGACGTAGCGCAAGATGCAGGATTGATGCGTAGATAACCTCCACTGGAGTTGGCGTACGTTGTGCAGTGATAGATCATCGATCGCATGATGCGGTATAACGCTCCCTCTCTCTCTCACTCTCTCTCACTCTCTCTCAAACACATACTGACAGCAGCAGAAGCACGCCTCGTGAAGTGTGAAGTCCGCGCACATGCAGCCGGCCCGCCCTTCCCACAGTTTGTCCCCCGCTCCTTTTCCTTCTCGTATTAGTCCCCAGTCATTGCTGCAAATGCCTCCTCCTCCTGCGAGCTTAAATCTTTGCCGACAAACTCTCTAGTCTGCTTTGATGAGAGAAGGGGGCATTTTAGGAATCCAAAGCACTGCATGTCACTGACAAAACTTGTTGTGTCGGCTACCTTTTGTTAAGCAGAGATCTGAAAGAAAGCAATAAAAGAACAAAAGGGAACATTTCATAAAGAAAAGGTACAGAGGAAAAGAGGAAGAAAGCGGGGTTGGGCATCTCAACGCCATCAGCGGCTGCCTGCAACCTTCACGTTCCCTCATAATACCGTCTTAGCTTCCCTTTACACTCGGCACTTGTAGCTAACCATCACACATACCGACCACTTCTTTCATCTTTTCTTAAAGCCAGCAAGAGGCTTTCCGTCATGCATCCTTTTCTTCTGTGGATACCTTGCAGAATTCTCACTGCAGTCCACTAAAGTCCTTGACAGAGTTCAATGTGACAGGGAGAAACGGTAGTAGTGCACAGTAAGAAGATGGGAGTAAATGGTGACGGAAGCAGCAAGAGTGAACAGTAATGATGACAAGAAAAATAGGAAATGTACGTACAGATTAAAACTTCAAATGTAAGCCAACTTTAGAGACCTTCACAGTAATCCAGTTATGAGAAAGAGAAGTAAAAGAAGGAGAATCCTCGCACCGAATTGCAGTGCCTATGATTTGATCTCACCTCTTTCTTTCTCTTGTTCCTTGTTTGTGTGAGGGTCCTTTCTGAATTTAAGTGGTAATCACGAAGAAAAGAGATTGAGGTGTCGAGACAGTGAGGATTTTTACCATATATTCCTTTGATTTTGCTGGACTTGTCGTTTCACCAATTCAATGTACATGCCACAACAACCAAAAAAAAATCTCCTCTCTCTCTCTCTCTCTCTCTCTTCCGATGCTGACGGCTTCGTGCTTATTGCCTCCTATGGTAGATGTGTGCCGCCGCCGCTGGCCCTGAGAGGATGCTTATTCCACAAACAAATCAATAAATAGCAACGGATGGACTGAAGCGATGAGTGTGTATCATTCATCAATCAACTCTCTTTGATGTCGAACCATGTAACACCTATAAGCTACACTAAAGAAGTGATGTGTAGGAAGATGGTGGAAATGCATGCATGGAGAGAAGCAAAAGAAGGGGGAGGACAGGAACACGAATGGATACACCGGGAGAAAGATAATTGGGGAGATGGAGATTTTGGGGTACCAGATCTATTGAACTATGGCCAAGAAAGAACCCGGGGAAGCTGCAGCTGACCCATTCCCTCCGCTGCCTCCTGCATTATTCACATTCTGCTTCTGGAACTGTATCGTGTATTGCATTTTCCTGTCTTCCTCGTCGTCGTCATCGTTGTCATCGTTGTCGTCGTTTTGGTCCATGTTATCGCTGTCAGCTTCATCCAACTTAGCGTAGTCATCATCCATGGCAGCTTGCTGCTGTCGTTGCCCCATCAGCTCCTTCACGAAATTTTCTGACTTCAATGCAACATCAATTCATCACACTATGCATAGATCTTCAGAGGAGGTAGAAGTGGGGAAGTGCTTACCTTGTTTAATCCTTCGCCAAAGAATCTCGAGGGAAGTCCCCCGTTGCTAGTTGGTACTTGTATACCGAGGGAAACCTCGCCGCCCTCAGAATTCCCACCATTTTGATTGTTGGAGCTTCCGTCCTTCCCATTTTTGCTTCCAGCTTGTTCTTGTGGTGGCGGAGGTGCTTGTTCTTGTGGCATGATTGTTACTGCGTCACTCTTCTGTTGATTGGGAGGTGGATTGGCTTCTTGGACTTGCTGCCGTTGAATTCCCACGATGTTGCCGCTGCCACTGCTGGTTCCCCCGCTGCTGAGGAGTTTCTTGCGGTAGATGGCATCCAATTGGTGGAAGTAAGGGCAAGTCTTGGAATCCTCCGGCCGTTTCTTGTTGCTTTCCTTCACCTTCTTGAAGTATTTGTTGATGTTCTCCCATTTCTCCTTGCACCTCTTTGCGCTCCGGTTATAGCCGAGCCGCTGCATTCCAGCTGAGATCTCCTCCCACAGTGTCCCCTTCGGCCCGGCCTCCTGGTACTTCGACTCGAGACCGCTCCGGAGGCTGATCAATGCATGCACCTCCGCCTTTGGCCACCGCGAGGATGACGGCATGGGCTCGAGGCTCCCACTTCCGACAGCCTCCTGCGGCTCCAAAGTGGGATCGATCTCTGACGCCGACGAAGACTTGTGCCGGACGACCTCGCTGCTCTTGTGGTGTTGCTTACACTCGTTCTGGTTCTGGGGTGACTGTGCCGGTGCGCGTGGTGTCTGCTGCTGCTGCTGCTGTCTTGCAGGCTGTGATCGTTCATGAGGATGTTGAGACGGCTGCTGTGGCGAAAGTGGAGCAATGGAGATAGGGGTGGCAGGCATCGGTGGTACGGGGACGGTCTGCCCACTTATCTTCTGAAGGTACGAGATTATGGCGGTGTCTCGGGAGGCAGCCATGACGCGCTCCTGGGCTAAGAGCTCCTGCTCACGATTGAGCCGCTCCATCTCCTGCCTCCGCCAGGCCTCGTCTCGGATCATCCTGTCCTGATCTCTCTTCTCGATGGCCTCTAAGAACCGCTGCTGCATAGCATCCTGCCGTTCCATCACCTGGTTCATCAACCGATCGAAGAAGGCCATCATCTTCCGGCTTGCTCCTGACCCCCCGCCGTGTTTCCGCTTCCTCCCTTCCTGGTTCTCATCGGCATCTCCGGTTTCCTCGGCATCGGAGTCCGAAGACGACGAAGAAGAGGAAGAATTCCACGAAAACGTTATCCCAGCGACAGCAGAGCTCGTGAGTCCTTGCAGGCCCCCGGGTAGCGCCAGATCGGGGACGACCACCCTAGTGGGCGTCGCCATGGTTGGTGGGGCCGTCGCAGAGATAGGCTGGGGTCTGCTGACGGGTGGTCCCGCCATGCCGGCGCTGAAGGCAGATGAGGCGGCAACGAGGGGAGGAGCAGGGGCGGGTTTGGCGGTTGAGGTGGTGGCGCCGCCGTCGCTGCTGCCACTGTAGAGAGCTTCCAGCTGGCTGAAGAAGCGGTAGCTCTTGCCGTCCTGGCGACCTGCCCGGCCTTCCTTGGTGCGCTTGTAGTACTTGTGCACGTTCTCGAACTTCTCCTTGCACTTCTTGGCGCTCCGTTTGTACCCCAACTCCCCCAGTTTTCTATCAACAAGGTAACAACAATTATAAGAAATAGCCGAAGCAGACGAGGATACAAGAAGGGAACCGAGAAGGAAACAACAACATCAATGAAAAGGCAAGTGAGAGCAAGAAAAACGAGATCGCCATGATTGCACTATAACTCAAGCACCGCATCTAATCATCTGATAATACAACAATTATTGGCTCAATAAATGAAAAGACTATAGCTGATGAAAAGGGAGAAAACAAGAAGCTAAAACCCCAAAATAATAATAATAATAGTAAATAGGAGTCGAAGGGAGGAAGGAGGGACTGCATGCTTTTTGCATCTGGGAATCTGAAACCACGGTCTCCATCGGAAATATGGATTGGTTGGGATTGATGCAGCGGATCTGAATCTGCTGACATCCCACTCAGAGATGATATAATTTAGTAAAAGAGAAGATGCCGTACTCGTGAAGGAGGGAAAGGGAAAGAGAAAGGTGAGGTCAGGTGAGGTGAGGGGAGGGGAGGATGGGGAGGGGAGGGATCCGTGGAGGATGAAGCGAAGAGAAGAAGACTTGTTTCTTTCCCAAAACGGGAGCTCCAGCTGCTGCGGCCACCATTGCAGCAGTAGACTCCGTGGTACGAACCCGACGGCAGATCGTTGCTTTTCGTAACTCATTCAGATGCTGCTGCGGGCGAAGTCAAATCCTTAAAGACTATTAAGGAAAGCTCCTCTCATGTGATATCTCGGTTGTAGTATCAGAGATCCGTGAATTATGTGAAGAGAAGACTCCACATTCTGGTGGTGCTGGCAGATGAAAGCAATGGGAATTGTGATGGTTTGGAGTACCTGCAGACCTCCTCCCAGAGAGAGCCCTTGAAGGTGGCGTCCCGGAAGGCGGCGTCCATCTCGGAGCGGATCTTAAGCAGGGCGAGCGTCTCCTGCCGTGGCCACCGGTTTCCGGTCGCGCCTCCGCCCCTCTCGGCATCCTCGTCCCCAGCAAGAGCCTGGTCGTCCGGGCAGTTCCCGGCCACCGCGGGTGCTAGTTCGTCGAAATCCACGGTGGGCGGCCGCGCCGGTGTCCGGCTGCTGATGGGCGACGCCGCCTCCGTCATCGGCGACTGCTGGAGGGGGTCAGGACCGGGAATTCCCAGTAAGTGCGCCCCGGAGCCGACAGCGGAGGGGGAGAATGGGGCCATTTCGGAATGCGGCACCACGAATTGGGACCCTGCTTTCTGCTGTTGCATGTCCCTGAAAATATTTTCTCTTCTCTCCACCTTCTTCAACACTTCAAGATCTACTGAATTGTTGTGCTCTCTTCTCTATATTACCACAGCTAGCTTCTGTTTTGAGGGTTAAGCCGACTCCCTCCTTCCTCTCTCACCTCCGCGGGGAGGAGAAAGAGAGGAGGGAGTTAGATTGACGCAGTTGGAGAGTTGGAAAAGGAATCGGTACATGGGGGGGGGAGCGAAAAAGTTGTGAGCATGGACAACTGGAAAGAGAGAAAGATTAAGAGAGAGAAACAAGGCCAGTCTGGTGAGAAAAGTATTTCTTTCCTGTAAAAGAACACACTAATTCAGCTCACCATGGGTGAAGATGAGAAGGTTGTCGAAGCCGAGTGGGAGAGAGAGAGAGAGAGAGAGAGAGAGAGAGAGAGGGATCCAAGTAGAGAAAAGAGGGAAGAGATGAATCGATTCAGCTAAAGGGAGAGAGAGAGCCAGAGAAGATGGTACAGATGCTGATGATGATGCTATGAGGAGAGATGCTGCGCTGTCAGGGGTGTTGGCTTTGTGCGTAATATTAGATACATAGGTCTGTCTGTGACTCTGTGAAAGAAGAGAGAGAGAGAGAGAGGGTGAGATTACTGTAGAACCGTAGAATAAAGACAAGGAATACTGCGATGAAAGATCAGTAAACTTGCACCGAAGAATACCGCCGTATATGGAAGGGAAAAAAATCAAAGCATAAAACGCATGCAAGTTTCCCACAAGTAAACACCACCCTCAAAAGACCATTTCAAAGATCGGTTCCTTCAGCTTGTTGCATACTCCTCCAGATAACAGTTTGAGACGGAAGGAGACTCAGCTTCCATTTCTCTCAGAGTTGCATACCAATAAATACGTACATAAATACACATCCGTCGTTTGTTTGGCAGTGGCAGAGAGAGAGAGAGAAAGAGAGAGAGAGCAACAAGTGTAGTGTGTGTGGGCTTCCTCTTCCTCTGGACAAGGGTTAGAACGTGCGTGGCGATCATTGCGGATGCCGCGGAGAACAAACTCCCATCCCCAAACCTCCAAAGAAACCTACACCACGCCATGTTACGTCTCTCTTAACCTGCCAACAACGCCATTAGTTCTTTCACAGATAGACAGAGAGAAGGACGCCAGATAAACCCTATTACTGTCATTACACAGTCGTTAAGGTTTTAGGATGTTGATGGCGGTATCAAAAAACTTGTCATGAAATCAGAGCGAGATGTGGGTTTGGATTATATCATAGAGGAAGGAAAAAGAGAGGAGCACTCAAACAATAATTAGAGCCCCACGATTTAATTTAGCTACAATATTAACATCTTATTTATTTTTGAGATAACTAAAAGGAAAATTTACTGTAAATTGCGGAAGTTCTTATCATGCTGATATGACTGAAATACCCCCAACTTTTGACGGCAATGCCACCGAACAGTGCCATCACCCGACGGTCATTTTCGTCAAAAAAAGGTTTCGAGCGATGTGATTTGACGGCTCGGAATTGCCCACCCTCTTTGGACGATCATACGAGGCATCCGACTAGGTCTGTGCCGTCAGATCTCGATCGGACGGCTAACGTAGGACGGCTTCGACCCCTTTCGCCCTTGCCAAGGATGGGAGCGGGACCATCACGACCTCCTTCGCGATCAGGTGATAAATTCCATCACGTGGCCACCGCTGTCTCCGGCTTTACTATCGCAATAAGGTCAATTTGGGTGGGTCTTTTTTTTTGTTTTCTTTGGACCACAATTAATCCATTTGAATTCTGCTCTCTCTCTCTCTCTCTCTCTCTCTCTCTCTCTATATATATATATATATATATATGGGATTAATCATGATCGAACTGTTCATGTTGGAGGATGATGACCGAACCATGTCAATTTGACCTGGAGTCTTCCACCAACATGCATTCCAGATGCAATGTGTAATTAGATAGGATCCGCATCATGATCATCCATATTATTGTATATATATATATATATATATATATATATATAGTTCATTGCAATAAAATAAAAAGTAGTACAAAATTGAATGATGAATGGAAGTGAGGGTTCAAAACTTATAAATCTGATCAATCTCAAGATGAGAAAAATCATATAATAAATATGTTTTTTATAATGAAATCACAAGTCATGTGATGTTGAAAATAGTCACGCCCATTTCCATTCAATAATCACGTGAAGAACATTGTGTATCAAGTCATATTTCATGACTTGGTCCAAGTTCTATTCAATCAAAAAGGAAAACACATAAGTGAAATATAGTAGAGAAAAAAAAGATTTTTGAGGATATTTTTATGGGAAGCTTTGGGTTATGAATCATCCACTCATCCACCAATGTGATTGTGAGAATGGAGACAAGAAGTATCCATTCACATTATCCTTATCTTGAGGTCCCCAACTCCATGTTTGGACCAGTGCATGAGTTATCCACATCCAGTGAAGAATGGCTCAACTCCTAGTGACGATGGCACTAGTGAGAACTCTTGAGAGTTGGATCCAGTTATGTGTGATCCTAAATCTTCTCTTCATGTAGGTTGATGTGCCCATAAAGATGGAGTCATACCATATGAGCTGCAAGAGAAATGATATGATCAGCTGTGTTGAAATCCACTTCCTGCAAATACACACAAGTCATGGTGAGATAGTCTCTTAGCTATGTTGGATTTAAACCGATTGATAACAAGTTACAATTATCCTTTTTCTATTAAATTCCATCACCAAAAAAATATATTACATGTCGAAGTAAATGTGTTATCAATGATTAAGATTCATGTGCCTACAGGAATAAGACTTCATATGTATATGAAACATGATGGAATTGTAGATGACGATTTGATGCAATATAGATGCACTCTATATAATTCGAATAGACTAATAGAACAACTAAATTCGATGAGAATTATAGGTAATCTGATCCATTTGAGTGCCAATGTGGCCCCACATTTGATCGAGATCAGATCATCATTCTAATTCATCCATGATCACCAGCTCAACCATCAATGAAGCTTGGAGATCGAGGATCCTGTCATGGGTTGGTTCCATCAAATGGTGGCGCACTTCATGATAGTTCAATAAGGCAAAGGCCATGACGCCCAGCCCACTCTTTGGGATGGAGGGGCTCTCTCTCTCTCTCTCTCTCTCTCTCGAGTCAATAAGGCAAAGGCCATGACGCCCAGCCCAGCATTTGGTCCGGTCCGGTCGGGTTGGTAGAGTCAGGTAGAGTGATGGCAGCGGCAGACATAAAGTCGTCGCTGGTTGATTCGGAGAAAACCCTTTGGATCAATAGGGTGACTCGACTTGGGTTCGGTTCAAACTGAGTTCAATTGGCTCAGACCGGCCCTTCAACCTGGCCCAACATTCTCGATACTACACTCAAATCTCACAAGATTTTGGCTGAGGATGCCAGCGCAGCAGAATTATATGGTCTTGACTCCAAACCATGGAATGAAGAGCTAATTTGTTTAGGGATGTCGTGGAGCTCTTTCAAACGAGGCTTTTGTCGCCAATTCTCTCGACCATTTGGAGGCAATTAATTAGGAACAAAAGGACTTGCAGAGATTTAGCTCAACAGGCGTCATCCACAGCCATATTTTAGATGAGTTCGATTAGGTTTGAATGGATTTTGTCATCTACACTATGCATGCAGATCGTTTCGCCTCGGTTTGATGGCTCTTTAAAAGCAGATTCAGCATTTAAATGCCACAATACTAATTAAGGCGCTGCATGCATGCATGAAAAGTAGCACGCCTTTTGATGTTCCACATAAGTTACTTCCACCCACCAGAAAGCAAGGCAGCATCACGAGTCAAACTCATGCTCATGCATACTGATTCCTCTCTCTCTCTCTCTCTAATCCAAGACGAGGGGAAGAGACTAACATCTTCTTGTATTTAATCCCTAAGAGTAAGAGTAAGTGCAGGGCGTCGGTGGGGTCTGGCACAGGTGAGAGTCCAAAAAGCCATTAAGACAGGACGGTGAACGTACGTGCTGTGCCTCCACCAGTTTCCGCCCTTTCTTCAACCACTCCCCACAGCTTTCCCACAGGCAGCGGACAACGGTTGTTTATGGAGGGGGGGAGAACGCATTCCCATGAACAGTGAGAGAGGTTTCGGATTCCGGGCTGCAGCAAAGACAACGAGAGAAAGATAGAGAGAGAGAAGGACGTCCCTTCTCCAGCACTGTCACGTCTCTCCACGGGCGGAGTGACATGATGATAATATATGTAGTGGGTGGCACTGTCCCAGCTGCGCAGGCGAGAAGAGGCGGGGAGGATCGAGGAGGAGGATGAGGAGGAATCGACGTTTACGTGTTGTTGGGTTGTGCCGTGGCTTCCCTGGGGACGGAGGGCTGCGTTTCCGAGGAGCGATCGCAGTGGAGTGGAGGGTGGTGGTGCGTTCCGTGTGCTGTTCGTCGCTGCTGCTGCTGCCTCGGTTTGCACGTAGTGAACAGACGAAGAAGAAGCAGCGATGGAGGAAAGCGGTGTTTTCTTCTTCCTTGGCAAGCACAATAGTCTTTGCTGGCGATGGAGCGACACATCGATTCGATGTGAAGAGAAAGCTTAAAGTGCGCTTTGCATCACAGTGATGGAGATGCCATTTTGACTGAAACCACTGCAACCGGTAGAGTGGTCTTCGCTTCTGCATCATTTATTATGTCGCAAAAAATCTTGCTACAAATTACATTAAAAAATTTTAAAAAATATATACTTTAAAAATATACGAAATAATATTTTTTTAAATAATCATTTTACATCTTTCGATCACTATGCTTTGCCTCCTGCCTTGTCGCACTTCTACCTCACTCATCATTTCTTTCTCCCTGTATAATTGCTCGTAATCCTCATTATTGTCACTTGAAGACCTATCGTCTTCCTTCATCAATAACCTGTTGTTAACAAACCTACCTCTCATCTTACCCGCAAACCTCATCATCACTTATAAACTCACCCTCTCTCTTGACTCGCAGCCCTCACTATTAACCATAGGGAGAAAGCGGGCGATCGCATGCTCTCGACGTCAATCACAACGAAGGAAGGAGGGGGCGCACACCTTCGTTATTTTCGTCTCGTGCAAGGGTCGTGAGAGAGATATGTAATAATTAGGCCAAAGGGATCAACGAAAATGGCCCTTATGTAGCGATGAGTCGACGAAGAAGAGACAAATGATATTTTCACAATGCTATTTTAAATTTTTTTAAAATAAAAACACTCAGCAAGAAGTAAGAAGTTTTGAAAAGTATAGGTTTTATTTGGCCTATTATATATATATATATATATATATATATATATATATATATATATATATATATATATATTATCTACCGTAATGTATTAATTCTGTATTTACTTAGGTGTACGGGTACTTTGGCATCTAGCACTCGTGCCCATAAATACGGGACACAATCTTCCACAGACTCTGCTGGCTACTAAATAACTCTGAATCCAACATGCAGTGTCTCAATCTTAATTGCATGTCCGTACTTGATGGTCCCCGGAGCACCCTTCACCACCACCATCGAACCACATTAATTAACCTCCTCCATCAATGACAAGTACTAGTTAACAACACGTACATAGACAAACATCGCCAGGAAGAGATTCCACTTCACTACGCTTCTCTCGCCGGACTTAAAGACTACGTTCTATCTCATCTTCCATGAAGCTGCAGCTTCGGCTTCTTCCTCTCGCTTTCAGATGGGAGCAACCTCATGATCTTATATATTTCCTTGATGGAGATCGTACACTAGCAATGATTCATTAGTCCATTATTAGCCCACTGATTCATCTATATCTATTTCATCAGACCTGGATTTCGTACCGTTTTAATCTACTTTTCCTTCCATACATTTTTTTTTTTGCATGAAATAATGTATATACATATCCTTATTATTTCTGTTTTCTATAGCAATTTTCTAAGTGTACCCACTGAATAGATTTTGAACACTCATCAAATTTGCCAAATAATAAAGTAGAAATCTATTTAATCAGCATAAGAACACTGCTAATTTGATAGGCAATCTCCAAGGGAAGCAAGGAACTAATTTACTCTAATATGAAAACTATCACATTTCGAGGGGGAAAAAGGAGCAAAATTGATCCCATTTTTAGACAGTATTTGTTTTATGAAAACCTTTTGTGCTGCGCAAGTATATGTATATGTATATGTATTTATATGTTTGCAACGGGGGGATACTATAAGAGAATTCAATATATGAATAACGCACATTAAATAACATTATTATTTATTGAATTTCTAAGAATTACGATTATGTTTGTTCAATCTCATGCTCAACGTCGACTTCATAGTTGTGATAGTTGGATGCATTTGATCATTAGTTTACGGACCCGAATCATGTTAGCCAATTTTGATTTAGTTTACTATTTAACGTAGGATATTTTCTTGTTTTCATTGGACCATTTGATATATAAAAAAGCTCTTTCTATTATTATTATTGCTTGAAATTTCCAAGGGGATTTCTTGATATTTCATAATGTGGTTTTTTATTTTTATTTTCTAAAATTCAGTAATATCTTTGTATTCTTAATGATTTTTAAGCACCTTTATCTCCCTCCCATAAAATAAAAAGACATTTCCATTATGAAAATATAAAAAATATTAATAGTGATGGATTTTTTGAGAATTATGAAACATAAAAGATTTATGTTACGAAATTTGAGAATTTTAGTAAAAGATAATATTACACATAATTATATTTGTGATCTCTATCACTTTGATTTATTGACTTGGAAAATTTGAAATTTTAAATGGAATGTCCTGTTGTAAAGCTTTGCATAGTTAGTTCCTCTCTAACTCGTTCACAAAATAAGAAGCTATTAGCAACCATGATATATATAATTGCGACCTCTAATCTACCATTAGTATCTTTGATCAAAGCATCATTCGATTTATATCATCAAACATTAAGGTACTAATCTACCATTAGCATCTCTAATCAAACCCACCACACCGGTGGGAAGAACACGATGCCAAAAACAGGAAACCCCAATAATGATCTCATGATGGCAGCCACCAGAGAGCAATAATAGCACAGCAGAAGAGCCGGGGGGGGTTTTGAGTGGGCAAGGAGTTGTTCCTCGCGCAGGACGCGCATTAACTCGACGAACACCAGCCCGCCCGCCGGCCCTCCCAATCCCTATCTAGCTCCTAGGGTTTGGCCCCTGCGTTCTCAGCTGTTGTAGGTGATCCCTCCACCGTCCAGATGTGACCCAACGGTGGATGAAAGAGCCTGCCCCATGGATCAAGGGATGTCACTCACCTATAAAAAAGAGACTAGGGGGAAGCTTTCATGAGGTCGTGGTCTTATCTCCAACACCCCTGCTCTACTTGTTTTGTGTCTCCGCCTCTTCCTTTCTCCCCCCATCACCTCTGCCTACTCTTTTTGTTATGTAGCCGTCCATGGAGTCGGGAAGACGAAGAAACAGGAAGCTTATCCTTTGAGGGGAATGTTGTCTGGCTCGAGGTCACTGCTAGTCCTCCACCCTGTGGAAGAGATCTCGGACCAGGCTTCATTCCCCCCAATCATAGCTTCCATCTCCGACACATGAGGGTGTAGTACATATCGGAACGTTGCAGATCTGCAAGACTCATAACTCATAGTTCTGTTTCTCTCTTTGCTGCTTGTTTTGCGTTGAGATTTCCTCTACCCCCCGCCCCCCGCTCTCTCTCTCTCTCTCTCTCTCTCTCTCTCTCTCTAGAAAAGATTTCCGTTTGCTCGCTCGATGATAGCTTTTCTTTTTGGTGTCATGCGATCAACGTCCGAGGACACATGCGGAGCAGCAGATTGGTGTAATGATGCTGGTTTTGACCGGATCTTTTGCTTCTGATCTCTTTTTGTTTCCTCGTCCTTCTTTTCTCCCTCTGACAGGAGGCTAAAAGGTTTTCCATCATTGTCTTATGATTACTCTCTGAAGGATTCTTTCTTTTCTTTTTCATTTGACCCTTTATTTTGGGGGGGGAAGATAATTCCTTTATGCATGGATTTCATGGATCTTGTAGTTCATCTCAAGATCTTTTGATGGTCATTCGAAGATCCTCCATCGTTTTCTTTTTCGTTCTTCTTTTCTCCTGTGCGAATCTCCACTTGGTGTTCTTTGTTATGCCACGACATATCTTTTTCTCATGAAAATTTATCGTCTCCATCTTCTGTGCACGCCTACTTATGATCGACAACCTTCTAGAGGAGGTTTTCTGTTGTTGATGGAAGCACTGGAAACATACTCCATTCACTTTCTTGAACATGGACTAATTTGTTCTTCAATATCACTTAGCTTCTCCTCTTGCTTTGCAAGCTCTATTTTGATTTTTTTTCCATGATCTATCTGGTTGGAATTGCATATATGTTTATTTGTCTATGAATTCTTCTAAATCTTTTAAACTATAAGAGAAACAGTTCTCAAGAAGTTTCCAAAAAGATTTCAAGGGAAAAAAAAATCTTTTAATGCTCCCTTGTTGGAAAAACAACTGAGAATATGTGCCAATATTTCATATAGAAGAGTTCATATAAGAGACACTAATCTCTTTCAAAGCCTTATTTATAAAGGAAATAGAGCTTAACACTTACCTTCTAATTTAGCTTGGACATGTTAAATTAGGAGTTCATTTTGAGAATATGACATGATATTTATTACATATGACATGGTTTGTGATATATGAAATTGGCAAAGAGATTCAGATCGAGAGATCAAATATTTTAGTTTAATGCTACTTATATCCTGTAAACTAATTATCAAGGTCTATCATGTTTGCTCAGAAACATTTTTCACAATTTTGTCTAAGTTTTGCCATGAATTTATGGTTTGATTACTTGTCGAAGAATCGAAAAATTGCTTTTTTATCAGTTCAGTTGAGATAATGAGATTGGCTTAATGATGTTTGCAAATCTGTTGCTGGCTTACTTGCACATCTGCTTATCATTTTACTATAATCACATCTAGTCCTACTTCGAGATCGATCAATGGTATATCATGTTTCACCATGTTTATAAGTTTCTTAAAGCTTGATCTATATATCCTTCACAGTAAAACGTAGAAAGCATGGATCAAATGGTGTTCTCATGCTAATTAATGTTTTCATGCATTTATTTCCTTTTGTTGTCTAATACCCGTGACTTGTTAGATCACAAGGCATTGTCATCTTTGATTCATTTATTACTGCCTCCAGCTGCAAGAGAGAGGAACACCATTGCAAAAGCTGCAAGTAAAACATGGAGAAAGACACCATGGAAAAAGGAGCCACAAAGGGAATGGCTGTTTACTTGCAGTGGATGTGTAGATCCTTCTTTTGAGCTTATTAGGTTTATATCTACAAGTTTAAGGGTGTCTTACCTCTCATCTTCTTCTTACGACACAGGTTTTGAGACACCCATCATCTGAACCTTTTTACCTCTTAAGCTATTCCTTTTGTTAAAGTTCTTGGGATGAGAAATGATATGCCTTTTGAGCTTAGGGATTGTAAGCTTTGAGTCTCGTGTCCATAGCTTTTTATGGTTGATTGCAACTTCATACTTGCATGCATGGAAATATATAATGGTACAAGAAACAGTGATAATGTTGTGGGAAATTCAAAGAAACTCTCTCTATTTCAAGAGATGCTAAAAGCTAATAGTTAAAAAAAGATTTCAAAAACTAGAATACCCTACCAAGAATCCCTCAACTACATAATTAACGAGTCATAATTTACTAAAAATATAACATAAATTATAATATATATTAAATTTATAATGCATTGTACATTGGTAGTTTTAAATTTTTATAAGTATCTCAAGATATGAATAATTTTCTTCAAATTTGATGGGCTTGAGCTTGAAATTTATTGTCTTGATAACTTGGAGCATTTAATACTCATCATGCAAAACATCAATTAGTCAATGCTTTGGATATGGTAGGTCACATTGCATGAGAATATAGGTTGAAAGTCTTTAATCTCCTTAGAATTGTCAGTTTCTGGAATAAAGATAAAAAAGTCTTAGTCTAATTAGAGGAGAGCATTGAATTGACAAAGAAGTCCTAAAAAGCTTGGATCAAAGAATTAGAGATAATATCCCAATAAAACCTAAAAAACTCTACAATAAAGCTAATAGGTATAGGACTTTTTCCTTAGACACAAGGAACTGATGGTCTCCCATATTTACTACTACTAAAAGGTCGGATCAAAACATTAGATTGACTCGAGGACATGTCCTAATGATGAAAAGGTCAAGTAAAGCATAAAGGCCCTATCATATCTCCAAACCTGAGAGTAGAACTAGACAAACTCATCCATAACAAGAGTAGGATCTATAATGATACTACTATTGGTCTTGACATGGTGAATATAATTTCTTCTTCTATGATTAGTGACTAAAGCATGATAAATCCAGAGTTTTGATCCCCCACACTAATCAACTTGGTTTTAGCGTGAGATCATCATTTTAAATTAATTTATCTAAAAATAGTAATATATCGGTTATAAAGACAAGAGACTAGATCCCATCCAACTCATTAAGGCCGATTTTAGCGTGAGATCATCATTTTAAATTAATTTATCTAAAAATAGTAACATATCGGTTATAAAGACAAGAGACTAGATCCCATCCAACTCATTAAGGCCGGTTTTAGCGTGAGATCATCATTTTAAATTAATTTATCTAAAAATAGTAATATATCGGTTATAAAGACAAGAGACTAGATCCCATCCAACTCATTAAGGCCACCTACCCCTAGACTTTCTAGCATAAGGAGGAGATATCTTATTTAGTTGACTCTAAGGCATCCTTAATTTTACCCAAACACTGTTTGTTTCGATGGGATAATGAACTCCTAAGTCTTTATAACTAGGAAATATCATTCAAGGATAAATTATTAAACAGTGTCAAATTCCACACATGCTAAATAATGCTATAAAATTGATGAAATTTAACCGGATGGGAAAATAGGTTTCTTTACATATTAACATTAAGCTGATAATGATTAGAGTAGACTCACGATAAATAAGAAACCACGTAACTATCAACTAAATCTAACCAAATATTATTTGCATAAACTCTATCGAATCGCACAAGAATACGAGCCCTATTTGACGATTATTGCACTAAGTAAACTTCGGACCAATGTAACCTAAATTTGTTAAACTCGAATTAATAATAAAACTCTTGAAATACCTAATGAAGGAATTAACAGTGTAATTATCTATGATTTTTTCTTCCTTTACATAATTTAATTATAATAAATAATCTATTAGCTTTATTTTAATTATTAACTTTCTTGTTTGCCTAGTATGGTTAAGGAAATGAATAGATTGATTTTCTTAATCATGTGGACAAGTTAAAATTTTTGTCAACTAATTAAATTATTAATTAATATATTTTCTATTGAGTAATATGATTTTTAGAAAGTAAATAGTATAAATTTTATTTTTATATGGGAACCATAAAAGAGAAATATTATAATTATTTGTTGTAAAAGTAAAATAAAAATAAAATAAAATTATTATTTACTTTTTGAAAAAAAAAGCTTATATTATCTTATATAAAGAGAGCTCCCTCTCCCTTATTCCTCGTTAAGGAGTGGTAAAATCCTATATTTTCTTATCAACTTTTATTTATATTTTAAAATCTTTGATATTAAAATTATTATAATTTATATGATGCATAATAATATTTTAATTTTAAAATTTTATGATTTATAAATAATGATCATTGAATTGTAATGTTAGAATGATTAGTTAATCTAATAATAGTTCTAATTTATTTAATTATATATTTTTTAAAAAAATTAAGTGTAAGTTTTTATGATTTAATTAGTTTTAAATTTGAAATCATGAATTTAAATTTGTTAATTTATGAAAAATAATAAATTTGAGTTTAATTATGTAATATTTTAAATTACTTTTAAAAATCTTAAAATTTAATTTAATACGAGAAGTCAAATTGATGTTGACTTGAGTTAAATTAATTGATCAGATCAACTAATTTGGCCAAGCATGACCTAGCACATGTGGTCAGAAATAACCCAACTTATATAGTCAAGTATGATTTGACTCATATGGTTACATTATTCAACCCATATGGCTAGATACGACATAACTCATATGATTAGGTATGACCCAGCCCATGTGGTCAAACATGACTCAATCCATGTGCCTAGATACAACTCAACTCATGTGATTAGACATGACCTAACCCATGTGATAAGTTATGGTCCAACTCATGTGGTTAAGCATGACACATCCCATGTAGTCAAATACGACGTAACTCATGTGATCAAGCATAACTTAGTTCATGTGGTTAAGCATAGTCCAACTAATGTAGTTAGACATAACCCAACTTATGGTTAGGCATAACCCAACCTATATGATTAGGCACGACCTAATACGCGAGCCAAGTATAGACTAATTTAATGGTAAATCTTAGCCCACCTAATGAGCTAAGGTTCAACCCAGCTCATGATACTAGACCCACTTAGCTATGCGACTAGCTAAAGTTCTCCAAAAATAGCCCACAAAAATTCATGCGGATAAAGTACTTTCAAAATATTTCATAATAAATTTCTATCAAACAATGAAGCATTTCATAAATTTCAGTAAAAATTCATGAATAATTTTTTCTATCCTGAACAATAACACACAGACAGGACAATAAATATCGGACTAGTTCACTTGAACATGCAGCGACGAAGAGTTCCAAATAGCGCTATCCCCCCTATATGCATCCTCTGTAAATACCTTCCATGGCCCAACCTATGCGCCATCCTACCGACAGCATCTGCATCCGAATGCGTTTCTTGAAACGGTCAGATTATAACCATGTCAACGGAATCGTATCTATAACGGGTCTGCGCCGCAAGCCCCTTCAATTCCAACCGACTCATCGAAGTGCTTCAAATGTCCATGACGAGCGCTCTTATCATCTGCGCCAACGGCCCCCTACGCGGCATAAACTCTTTCTACCAGTGCTCTAACACTGGCTTTCGCCGCTGTCCTCCCCGATCTTCCATCTGAAATAGGTGCCGACGGCACCCCAACCTGTACATCATCAGATTCCCCCATCGGCGTAGGACTGGAGTAAGGAAGCAAGGATGAACTGGACCGAGGCCACACAATAGCCCCAAACCTGGCTCCCTCCCGTTCCACCACCGTGCGGGACTTCACATCACGCAACTTGTCCACCTCCGCTGATGCAGTCGCCTCCCCCTCCAGGATAGGCTCCGCTGATCCAGCGGACGGGGGGCGGCTGCCTTCTCACCATGTTCAGCCGCAGATCGGGACGGACGCCTTGCCCAGTGACATCGATCTCGACCCCGTTCCATCTTCAAGGACCGACCATCTATCTTTATAGGTCGTCCCAACGCTTGCACGATGGCCAGAACCCCTTCTCGATTCCAGAACTCCATCGGTGAACCATGGAGTTGAATCCAAAAAGGGATAGTCTTCCGCGTTTCGAACATTGGGTTAAAGTTTGGCCGCCGCGGAAACGACCGCGGGCCGGACGTAAGAACAGAGACCACATCCTCTTCAGATCGAAAGTGGAACAAAAAGAAGTCGTTCGACAGATCCAACACCAAAGGAGGAGAAGACACTTTCCAGGTTATGGTGATGAAATCCCTTGACATATGTAGCGGAGGAGGCTTCCTGAGGAACTTCCTCACCAAACTGAATACACACGGTTGTCGCCACCTCCTCACGGTCGCCTCGTCATACTTGACCGGAGCGTTGGAAGCCCGTTTGATCCGATCGCACGTCGAAGCAGAGAGAAAGGAATACGAGATAGTGTCCTAAGAACGTCCGGCAAGCAGCTCCGCGCAAGACAACTTCGTCCCTTGACCCCCATCAGTGTCCATCGCACCTGCAGCACCCACTTGGTAAGGGGATCCCCCAGCATCTCCAGCAATCGGAGGACCGAGGGGCCACACACCGTCAGACGAAGCAGGAACTGGGAGCATCCACTGTAATCAGTGAAGAAACAGAGCTGTCAGAAGACGTTGATTGGATCTCCCCCATCAAGAGCTTCTCTCTCTAGGGGAAACAAGAGAGAGAGTGTTGTCGATTTCCAAGAGTCATATCTTATCCTTGTTCTGTGGTTGGTGATGGGAACCTCATCTCCACGATCAGATACTGCGAAACTCATCAATGAGCTCGCCATAATTTAGCAGCTACGCTGTCTTGTCTTCTCCGGCATCATCATCAGTCAGTCTTCTTCTTCTCTATCACTCACCATCCATGTCGACCAAATCGGACCACCAAAAGAAAAGGAATGGAGCCGATTGCAAATCACTGAATGACAGAAGCATAACGTCGAACAGAAGGAACGCACAGTGAGGGTGGATCAGATGATGCACGGCAAGGGGAAGACATGGGACCCTCGATCCACAACCTCCCCATGTCCAACCACAGATCAAGTCAGTGCAGAATCATTTGAGAGCCGCACACCTTTGTGTTCTCTAGCGACTATTATTGCCATGGAATCACCATTATTGAGCGAGAAGAAAAAGAACAGTGAAAGAATGATGCTTTGAGACGGGTATGGGTGACAGCGAGAGAAAAAAAAACGAGCAAGTTGGGCTGTCAAAAGATCAAACAATTCGCTCCTCATTTTCTTACATCAATTTATGAATATAAATAAATATTTTAATATCGTTCCCACCTACAAAGACCACAAACGACAGACTCCATCATTTCATGCTTATCCACCGCGTAAATTCTTTGTAATCTAATAGCAAAAGTATCCATCAATATTTCGTGACCATTTAAAATATTTGTCACTGGAAATTCTAAATTGAGGTCGAACGATTACGCCGACAATTATCGTGATAGAATATAAGAACCACGATCTAGTGGTCGGGTCCCACATAGGTTCCTTTCACGATCGGATACTTACTAACCTGTGTCTCGCAACACAGCACCTCCTCTTTCGAGCCAACCTGATCTTGCCACGTCACCTAAGTACCCAGACAATGGGTTGATTCTGTGGTATTATTGTTGGAAAAGCTGGACCCTGTCGAGTCTGCAGAGCTGAGCCTGAAAGGGTGAAATGGTCTTTGGTGCTGGCAGACGAAGAGCAAATCATGTCCCTCTTGTCGACAGCCTTCCTGAGGAATCTCCACTCGATTCCGCTGACGTGTTGCATCCGCTGGCCTACGGTCCATATTAACGTAATGCTGCACCGGCACCCGCCGATAAAGTAAGACGACTTGCTCCGCGGGGAACGCCGACTCGAGAACAGCGGCGGCCGGCCGATGGGGGAGGACGCCTTCGGGTCGGTGGCGCCGCCGGTACCCGCCTTCCAAAACTTCGCCATCTCTTCCCTCCGCCTCCTCGGCATCCTCGAGCACCCCGACCCCAACCCCGACATCATATCCTTCCGCACTCACCAGCTCGAGCTCGACGAGAGCGACGTGGTCTGGTCATCGTCCTCTGACGACCTTTCCTCCGACCCATCCCTCTCCGAAGCCGTCTACGACGACCATGATTCCGTCGATCGCGTCACCTCCCCCTCCGCCGATCTCCCTCGAACCCCGCTCGCGGCCTCCTTTTCCCCCTCCGGCCACCTCAGTCGCCCCCTCGCGCCGGAAAGGTGCGGCCTTTCCGCCGCCTTGTCCGAGGACAACCTTCCCCTGGTGCTTCAGCATCGATCAGTCGCCACGGCGGCGAGGGCTACGAGGCCGATGGCAGTGCCGGAAGGAAGGGAGGCGGCTTCAGTGGTCGGGAGGGTGCGCCAGCACCAGTCTGCGCCTGTCAACATCCCGGTGTGGCCGAGGTGGAGTAAGGGGCGGAAAGCTGACGTCTTGAACGTCGTGGAGGAATTGGAAGCATGGGAGAGCGCGAAGGAACACGACGAGGAGGAGGAGGAGATGGTGCCTCCGCACGTTATCGTGGCGAGGTCGCACGTGACGAATTTCTCGGTGTTCGAGGGCGTAGGGAGGACGCTCAAAGGAAGGGATCTCCGGCGAGTGAGAAACGACGTGCTGCAGAAGACGGGCTTCCTCGACGTGTAGAAGGCCAAAAGAACACATGCCCTTCTTCTCTCTCTGCCTCTCTCTGTTTCAAATCTCCTCTCTCCATTTTCTCCTACCATATGAACATTTTTATATGCTTGAGAATTTGAAGCGTGACTCTTTTTTGTGAGGAAAATAATTTCGATTTAAGGATCTCAAGATCGCTCAAACTCTAATTTTCTTTCTTCTTTGTTCTTGACTCATCTCCGTTTTTGTCATTGTAGATGGGCTTCGTTGATGGTTGGAGAGAGAGACTCTGTTTTAATCAGTACTGAAAGATACATGGTGAAATCACTCCTAAGATCATAGATTTAAGGGGTTGCTTCCTCTCATGTTTGTCCAGTTCTTGGATGCCTTTTAACTCTGTTTCACCCGCAGACACAAACACGACACAATCTTTGTTGGTTTCTGCCAACCACAAGTGTGGTGATGTGAGGGATTCTGTCGTTTTTGCCTTTGAGAGAGAGAAGTTCAATTCACAGCCACAACAGTGTTCACATACAACAATTGCAGTTTCTCGTCGATGGCGACCTGCAGATTCCAATTGATTGTGTTTCGAGGGAGAAGGTAGCAGTTTTAGCGTTGTGGAAGAGAGGCTTCACATTTTTTTTACTGTGACATTTGTTTTCCTTGTAAAATATGAGTGTTGACAAAGGACTATATATATATATATATTGGTATGACGGCATGAATTAAGTAACCATATCAAATGTTGATGTCAAATGTGTATAGTCTACCAATATTTATAGTTATCCAAAAAAGTCTGATATCAAATGTGAATGAATACTTGAAGCAACAGTCATATTGGAAGGGGCAGCAGAGATGATGTCAAATACTGGCAGTATAAAAGATGTGCAAGAAGCAGGTAAATAGTGAGGAAACAGAGACCAACAACAGAAAGTTTTATCTCAGCCATTATGTGCTTTGTTATCGTATTAATAAAAGGTTTAGAAAAGTCTTATGGTACATGGATTTTTGTAACCAAGCACCATGCTGATTTCTCTTATACTTTGTTCCCCTACAATCTGCTCTTCAAAGATGATGTGTTGTTATGTCAACTAAGCAGCCAGAAACTTCATACAAATAGGAGGATTAACCTTTGCTAAGGCTAGCAATGATGAAGGTAGAATCCATAGTCCATCTCCACAGATCAGACCAGAGGCGACAGCCGGCACCATCAAGGCCGCCTTCTTCCTATTGAGCTTGTGCCAGGCAAACACTACCAAGCTCCCAACACACATGTCGATCGCGAAGCTGGCTCCGACTAGGAAAGGCACTGCCATTGCCATCGGCAGAGGAACCCAATGACTGTACTTATCTGGCAAAATATCTCTCATCGTGTTCATAACCACTGCGAATCCGAAGAAGCCATAACAGAGCTGCAAGCAATGGTGAGGAAGTGCTGAGAAGCCCTCAACACCAAGAATTGCCATGTTTCTGTATATCAAAGCATAAGGAGCCTTCCAATTTCCATCTGGATTCCCAATATCAAAGGCCTTGTAGAAGAGGAAGAAGGTTAGAGGGGCAACCACACAACCTATGGCTGTTCCGATGGCTTGACTGAGAAGCATCGATCTCGGGGATGTCATAGTGAGATGACCCGTCTTGAAATCATGCATTAGATCAGCAGAAATGGAGACGACCGATTTGATCAGCCCACAACCGACAAGGCCAGCGACAACACCAGAGTGTTTCCCAGCCAAGGCTGCTAGAATAAAGAGAGAAACCTTACCATAGTTGTAGGCCATATTCATGTCCGTTAGACCAGCTCCATAAGCATTGCAGAAGCCAAGGGCAGGGGCAAGCATATATGATATGACCACGTAGTACCACTTCACCTCAGGAAACATGATGGGGATGGCGACGATGGAAACCACGGCGAAGAGGGCATATCCTGAGTAGGCTAACCACACCGGTATGCTCTCTTTCATGAATACTTCATTACGCTGGAGATCATCGAGGACCGGATTAACCTGATCTGCCACTGTAAGAGAATGCAAAATAGTTGAGCTGTAAGATACAGGGAAGAACCTGTCAATCCAAATTCATCAGCCACTATACCTATTTTGATATTTTTGCTGGTCGCTCTCGCGTGCATACTTTTTGCAGTACAAGCCAAAATCTTGAGGAAATTGTAGAGCCCATCACCGAGAATAAGAGCAATGGAGATGAAGACCTGAAAAAATGAACAGATATATATATGAGCACTGACAGCACAAAGGTTTTTGTACATGGTGAAAACGAAAAATTTGACGTGATGCACCTTGTACCCTTGCAAGCTTCTCATGCTACTCTTTGGTATGCTCCCAGAGAACCAATCTTCTTTAAGATCACTAATCAGTGGCCACATAATTCCCCATGAAAGCACTGCACCAAGAACGAGAGAGAGATTCACAATATGGGAGCAAATCATCCCTGCTCCAACATATGTCATGCTAAAATCGAAGAAAAACCTGGAACACAAAGAATTATGATTATGACATGGAGAACAAGTAGATGATGATGATGATGAAGTAAAGGTGTAGAGGAATAGGTATGCGTTACGATTGTTTCCAAGCTTTTAGTCCAAAGGTGGGGAACTGTGAGAAGCCACAGCCATCTCCTCCTGAGTAGAACCACTGGAAAAAGCTCCACAGGAAGCTAACTGTGAAATATTTTGCGAACCCATGGACCTGTTTCCTGTTACGGAAGTGGGACAATGATGCTCAGTAAACAGGTTGATCACAAATCTTAATTCTCAGGGAATTAGGCAGATACATACTTCGCCATCTTGTCTCCACGAGGAGTATGGAAGCCATTGATGAGGACAGCAGTTGCAGTGCCGCTCGGATAAGTTAACTTGTAATCTATTATCATGATCTGAATAATTGGCAAAACGTCACACAAAAGAACATTAGAAGAATACAAAAGCCAAATGACAACAGCAAAGAAAAAGCCCATCACTGTCAATCAATGATGCAGGCACCAATCATTTTATGCATATCAATCTTCATAGCCAAGAGTCCATTTGGCCACAATTGTGCATCATGAACTTGGAGACACAGAATAAGTCTTGTTGAAGCATGTAATGCTTGTGATCATGACTTGCATTAAAATACTCAGATCTTTCAATGATTCAACAGGACCAAATAGTTGATGTGATACTAATTATTGGAATTCTGCTTTGGTCATCAAAAATTTTAGCAGCATAAATGACAAGAGAGTTTATACTGTTTTTTATTTGAGTATGATTAAATTTGTGGATTTTGGAATCATATTCGACATGAATTAAGTTGTTTTGAATGGTATACAATAAAAGGAAAAGTTTTGAAGGAGAATAATTCTTCTTTTTGTCCCCTTTTTTTTGGTGGGTGAAGAGTAATTTGCAGAGAACAACAAGAGAATAACACGGTTGCTTTGCCGATCAAGATCCACCGAAGGAGGAATGGCAGAGTAGCTCAAGAGGAAATGGAGATCAGTAGGACGCAGGAGGAATTACCTTCCTGAGAGGAACCAAGGCCAAGAGCCCAACAAAACTAACAGTGAAGAGAAATCCAGTCATCCAGCCAATCCCAGGTTCCTTGTAGCTCCCTGGAACATTGCCCTCTGTATCTACTCCTGCTTGCTCATAAGTCTTCTTGTTGAGACCCAATAAATAGGATCCAAATCCACCTACAATAATATGTATCAGTCATGGTAGACTACGGATGATTGAGCAAGATCGAAGCTTTCCCACCTCCGACGGCGATGCTGTAGCAAGCGACGGCGCAGGTCTGCACCACAGTGTTCTCCTGCCGCGTGAAGGGAGTGGTCAGGATGCCAATCTTGTGCAGTAGCTTGGTCCAGGACCGGAGGATGACGAAGGCGAGGAGGGCGGCGGAGACGTTGAGGGTGGGGACAAGGCCGGTGGTGAGGTTCAGCTTCATCACGATCACACTGTACATGATTCCGATGACGAGGCTCGCCACCAGGCCGCGAAATGTTATCTGCTTCGACCATGGAGGAACCCTCTTGAACTCAAGCGCCCCCGTTTCCATGGGCTCTTCCAAGTCCTCGCCTTTCTCGATTTCTTGCCTCTCCGTGGGCTCCGCCATGCGAATGAGCTCGAACTAGCTGGTCGCAAGCCTTCGCTTCGTCTTCCTTCACCTTCTCTCCTTCACTCAGCAACAAGGTACCATTATGATGAAAGGAAATCATGTAATAATTCTTCTTCCGGCATGTTCAACAGTCACACAAACTCTTGCTATCTTCTATTAAAAATGCCAACTTGATACTTCAAATCTTCTCAGAATCGAAGTTCGTGAAAAAAAAAATCTCGCCTTTCTAAATCTAAAGATCTCACCTTGGGCTCCTCGTCGACACGAAAAGCCTCCGAACTTTGTGAGACTCACAGCTTACTTTTCATCAGCCTCGGCAACTTAATCCGCAGCAGAATGCAAAGATCTATCTATATACATAAATTTATCCCAAAGTGAAGTGAGTGGGCAGTGATTTTTCCTGTGTACTGCAGTTAGCAGTACAACCAAGTCATTGTACTGCACTTCTATTTAAGCAAATCAACGCTAAATACCTTACAAAGAGCACGCAAAAAACCTTGCTGGCGCAATGAATGGACGACGATGGATTGGGAGTAAAGGAAGCATTGAATTGAAGAATCTCTTGGGGGAGTCGTTGAAGGAGATGAAAGAGGACCAGCCACGCCCCAAAATGCTCGCTTTTGAAGGTCTCCGTGCTCGCTTTCAAAGTGGGTGGTGCTGCTGGAGGGGGATGCTTCGGAGAACTGGCTTGCTGCCATTGGTCGTGGCGTGTGCTGGGCTCATCAAATCTCCTTCGGTCAAAATGTGGTGGGTCTTTCTTTTCAAAGGAAACTCTTTCATAAACTTAGAAATCCGAAACCGAGTCCGAAAATAAATTAAGGTTCTAACAAGAAATATCATATTTATCCTCCTATTTCCATTACAATCCGTAAAATGTGCTTAATGATTGATTCCTTTGATGTAATTGATAACTTGCAATGCATCAGATTCTATGAGGATCTTCCGTCATCCTTCAAACTTTGCTCTTTGTGATGTCTCTAGAATTGCTCTGCTTTCAGCTTGCTTAGCTCTATTTGCCACGCACTTTCCTTAAGGATAGGAAACACATCATCTTAGAGCTGCAGGTCTCATTCATTACCCATTATCAAATCCTCTACCCA